CGGGAGCGCGGCAGGGAATACCGGCGGATCTCCGGGATCCGGCACGGCTGACGGGAGCGCTGCAGGGAATACCGGCGGATCCCCGGGATCCAGCACGGCTGACAGGAGCGCTGCAGGGAATACCAGCGGATCTCCGGGATCTGGCACGGCTGACGGGAGCACTGCAGGGAATACCAGCAGATCTCTGGGATCTGGCATGGCTGACGGGAGCACTGCAGGGAATACCGGCGGATCTCTGGGATCCGGCACAGCTTACGGAAGCATCGCAGCCAACTCCCATTGGGACACCTCCTATGCACCCAACACACAGGGCAGATGTAACACTGGTACTGGAAACCTGCCTGGGGACCTCTTCAGATGCAGACAATGCGATTGTGCAACGACAGCAATTTATCTGTAGTGCTTTAGAGAGGAACCAGTTTTCCTCCTTAGCTCAGATTTTTTTCCCCCGCTAGTTAAAGATGCCTTTAGTTCCAAACAGTGCTAAAAAGGCAGCTTTTGATGTCTTTTAAATTAAAACTCAATTCAACAAACACTTTCTTGCACTTTCTGCTCTAGGGAGAGCTCTTTCATCAGCTGCAAGCTCAGTGACATGGGATGGAGCATTGAACCTCTGGGGACCTCAGGTCTATCGGGAGCAACCCAGGGAGCACCCATCCCACCCGCCCTGTCCTGGGATTGCTCACCGAGAAGTAGTTCCTCTTGGCTGTGACGTTGGGGTTGTTGTTGCTCCAGTCGTAGGCCAGCTCCTCCTCCTCCTTCTCGTTCAGCCAGATCAGCTCAGCGGTGGCCCGGGACACAAACCCATGCAAGCTCTGGAGGTGCCGCAGCCGGAAGCTCGAGGTTTCCTGAACACAACACAGTGTGATTCCTCTGCCCTGCTCTGAAGGCGATCGCTTTCTTCCCCCCTCCCCAGCGCTGGAGCCGGGATGCCCAGAAGCAGGGAAGCCCAGGAGCCAGGATGATCGGGAGCTGGAATGCTGGGATGCTCGGAAGCCGGGATGCTCGGGAGCCAGGATGCTCAGGAGCCGGGACAACCAGGAGCTGCGAAGCCCAGGAGCCGGGCAGCAGGGACAGACCCCACACTCCCCCCCGCAGTGCTTTAAGCCCCCTCGAAGCCCACTCACCATCAGCTTGCAGTACTGCGTCTCCAGCTTGCCAAGTGTCTCCGTGTAGCTAGCGCGGAAATTCTGAGACATTTTACCCTGAAAGATGAAAAATGCTCCTGTTACCTGACATGGGATGGCATCACTTGAAACCCCATCTCCGAATTTTTCTCCCTAGCTTTGCAGGAGCAAAAGGACGTGCAGAGGCTCAGGGCACCAATGTCCATCCAGAAGCTCCATCCTTAAAAAAATACCTCTACCCCAAGCAACTTTACCCACAAGAGCCGATCCCGATGCACACTTTGCGTCCCCCAGCCCATCCCACCGTACCTCGTACATCCGAGCCTCCTTCATGCTGGAGCCTAGCTCCTCCACGCTGGTGTGGACGTGCCGCTGGGTCTCCAGCTGGGTTTCCACGCTCGGCAGGTCGCTCCCCCACTCTGCCCGCTCCAGTCTCATCTGAAACAGGTCAAGAGGTCCAAGTCAGCACTCCTCATCTCCAGGAGCATGTCTCAAAAGGACACGAGGGCAAGGAAAGCTCCTAGGTCACTCAAGAGGGAACCAACACCGCGCCAGTCCCAGCAGAGGGTCCTAAGCCAGTGAGTGATTTCTGGGACAGCCCACGCAAGCTTCACACCCACGTAAGACCAAAGGACTGGCTGCATCAGCAGAGATTTGCTGCCAGCTGGGATCTCCTGATACCCACTGATCAGCAGGATCAAGAGAGAGAAAACCCAACTCAAGCGTGGGTGCTCTCCAGAAACTCTGAACCATCAAAGCAGTTACTCACAAAGGCAGGAAAAAGCCCAGACCAGCTCCCTGCCTCCCCACATCAGGCTGAGCGGAGGCAGGTAACCTGGCCCAGCCAGCACTCACCTGCACTTCCTCCACCCACGCCAGCAGCTCGTACACGAACCGGAGGCTGCCTTCGTCTTCGGAAGAGGAGATGGCCACCAGCTCGGTCCTGGGCATGGGTTTGCGGAACCAGGAGGCAGCAGAGGTGTGCAGCCCTTTGGTCAGGGACTCGCCCTTCAAGTGCGTTGTGCTCAGCGTGGAAGGAGGCACCAGCTCCAGGGTGGAGAAGTGACCTTTCCTGTACAGGTTTGTGCACTCCAGCCTCAGCGTCACCAGCTCGTCTTGCAGCTGCATGATCCTGGAGGGGCGAGCAAGCCACGGGTGAGAAGACGCACAGAGTTCTCCTTCCCCACAACAGCAGCCCCGTGCACCAGCCCCGACCACGTTTCTCCATCCACAGACCATCTCAGACCCGGTTCCTCTCACCTGAACACCAGCGCCTCCAGCTGGTAATAATTCTCATCCCGCAGGATCTGCACATCCACCTGGAGCTGGCGCAGGAGCCCCTCGCACTCCTGCAGGTACACGACCACGTCGGACTCATACTGCACCGGCTGGCCCGACTCCAGGTGAGCGGTGTCCTGCACCGAGAGAGGGGAGATGGAGGGATGGGCTCAGCATCGACTTCAAGACCAAAAGGACTTTTTAATCCTCAAGCTTGACTTAAGCAGAGGAACATCAGCTCATCGCTCCCGCCACACCCAGGATGTCCCCTTTAGTCCTGTCCCCAAGGTCCCCGTGCCACAGGTCACTAGGCATCCACTGTCACCCCTCCGGGATGGGCTCAGTGTCAGAAGAGAAAGGAAAGCTGTGCAGGGGAACCCACTACCCCACGCAGATGAAAGGGGCAGAGATGGGCATAAAAGAAGAAGCAGGAAAAAAAAAGTAAATTTAAAATTCGGAAGGGAGAAAACACCCCCCACACTCACAGCTTGCAGCGTGTTCTTTGCGAGAGTGAGTTTTTCTTCACAGCTCAGAGCACCATTCTGGATTTTGTTAGCAATTTGTAGCAGCAATTCCAGCCTGCGATGACAGAGGGAACGAGAATGAGGGGAAGGCTTTGGGACATCCCTCCAGCCTGGGGAGCAGGGGATGTTGACACCGTCTGCCGCAGGCAGAGCACCCACCTCTCCACGGCCGGCCGCAGGAGCTTCTCGCGCTCCAGCATCTCGATGATGAGCTTGCCCCACTCCTCCTCCACGTCGTTGGGGTGGTAGCCCTGGGGCAACTTGATGCGTCCAAATTCAATCCATACCTGGGGAAAACATCAACACAATGGCACTCCTACCTCCTCCTCGAGCTGGCTGGAGAGAAATAAATCACTGCAAGGAAAGAGGGGCTACAGGGCAACAGCTCTGCCTCCGCTCCCACAGCATCATTTACCCTCAGGGTTATTTCCATTTCTCCGTTCCAAAATAAACCTGAGCTGAGTGC